ACAAATCGTTGAAATATGTTTTTATTGGAGTTTTAAGTTCACATGGTGTCTATTTAAAAAAATAGTTATTCGAAAATCTATTATTTTTCAACCAAATAATAGTTTATTCGACTTGTATGTTACTTAAAAAAATCAATTGTTTAATGACTAATTCTATATATTAATCTAGCTAGTAACAGTGATCAAAGTAAAGATAAAGTAAAAACTTTAAGCAACAGTAGGGTAATTAATTTCTAACACTTTTTGTGATATTTTTTTATAGTTGGGTGATGTGCGGTAACTACAATTACTGGCTTAATTTTTTACTGACAATTAAAATGCCAATTGATATAAATATCACATACAAATTTCGACTAGAGAACACTAGCTAATACTATTTTTTATTAAAATAACTAAACAAAAAAAAAGACTAATTCTTTTTGTTTAATATTTGTATGGTAGATATAAATGGGTATATCGGGATTAGAAGTCAAAACGTGTAACGTTATAAGTTTAAAAGTTTAATGAAAGTATCATTTTTTTGCTTTCAGTTGGAGGTAAAGGTTTTTGAACGTTAAAATATATAGCGTTTAAATGAACGTATAGTTGTTGACCACATATTTGTATTATGTTATGTTTAGTTAAATATAAACTTGTAAATTGAACTTTTAATTTTCACAGTTTATTATAATTACGTGTAATGTCTTCGGCATTAAGGCCTGTAACAAAAACATCATATGCAATAAATAATTGTACGATTATTGAAAATAAGTATTTTATTAGATTTACTTATAATGGTAAATTTAAAACTGAGATTACTTAGGCCAATTAATTAGCTTAATCGTTTATTTATGAAAGATGATTCCTCACAATTTTGTTGAAAATTACAATTAACATTGATATGATATTGGGCTGTGAGTCATTCCAAAATTTGGGTGGAAAAATCGTGTCACGATTTCACGGCACCAACGTGAATATAGAGATTTAGTGATTGAATATTAATAATGAGTACCAGGGTACTATAAAACACACGTTTTCATTGTCGCCGCCACCACAAGTGTGCTTTGACTTCAGCTACTGAATACGTGCCATACCGAAAATTATCAAAAACGCACTATGCCGCCGCCGGCTACAGTATCAGGGACCCATATGCTAAGTTTCATATACATTGCTTAGCGCCAGGAGCGGCCGGTAATTGTATGAAGCTCACATAGCACCAAAACCTTTTCAAAATTTAATTTCTTAGTATTACGTTAAATATTAAAAATAAAATACAATACAACAAAGCTAAACTTGCCTATACTCTTGCTACACTCTGCGCTAAGAAAACAATTTTTAAGAAAAAAGTAGTAGGAACATAGATGAAAATGTTTAGAAAATGTGGTAGTTTTGGGGAACCATAATGCTAAAATAAATTTATAGGGCCAATGTTAAAAAAACTAAGCTTGCCCAAACACTCCACGCTATAATGTTATTTCATTAAGAAAAAGTACTAGAGTCCTATGTGTAAAACGTGTAGATATATTATCTGGTTATTAATAGTTGCGGCGGCCGATCAGTTTTTACGAATTTTCCATTATTTTATTTATTTTTTCATTTTATTTCATTAATTTTTTTGTGTACATTTGAGTATTCAGTGTGAACTTTACGATTAATTAACGAGAGTACACCTATAAACGGCTAAGACTCGTACAAAAATCCGATACAAAAGGGCCAAATTCGTTCTATTAAAATTCATACTATTAGTTGAACAATAAATTGAAAAATTGGTATTCACAAATTAAAATAAGTATAGCGCATAAGAATCAAACATATTTTTTATAATTTTTTTTTAAGTAAAAGTGAATGTGAATCACAGTTATTTTTAATTACCTGAAATTTTAACTATCAGTCTTGTAAAGTGTTTGAGAAAACATGTTAAATTTTATAATTACCAAATTCTCTGTTTAATTCTAGTGTCAGTTCATCCTCTAATGCCTTCTCTATAATTAAAACCATAAATTGTTTATAAATGTCTATTATTGTTATGGCAAAGTTAATATGCATACGATTTTATTCATAATTAAAAAACTAATGTAAAAGCCATTTGTAATGTATAATGTACAATGAATATGTAATATGAATTACGGTATTGTAAGTCCTCATTAATATCTTTTTCTGAAATTAAAACGAAAACATTTTGTACTGGTGAATAACCAACAACTATATGGAAATATTTTCAATTATTACCAGGTAGTGCAAACATAAAAGTCAATTTCTCTGAAATTATAAGAACAAAAAAATTATTTTTAAACGATATTTGACTTAATTTCATGTTCCATTATAAATTTAAATAGAGAAGTCAAGGTATGAAATACACGTTTAATAATAATAAGGAAGTTAAATTTACAAATAAATATTGAGTGATTTAAATTTAATATTTAGATCACTTATAAATTTGTATTGATACATTTTTGCAATTATTGTATCACTTCCAAAACATTTCTTCTACTAGCAAACCTAATCGGTTTGGTTTTAAAATAATAATTACTCATTATTTCTTCATCTTGTTGAACAACAAAATGTATTATTTTGTTCCTAATGGTTCCTGAAATAAATAAATATTTGATTAAGTTAAAAAAAATCAAATGATACAAATCGTATTATTTAAGCTTATTATCCTCATCAAACCTCGACTTCACCACTATTGTTAATTCCTGAAGTACTCCGGGAAAACTATTTTGTTTAAAAATACAATACACAAAGGCTATTTTGGAAACATTTTTTCATAAAGATTATAGTACATAAAATACCTTATAGTCAGGCAAACGGCAAGTATAACAAAACCATTAAAATTATTGTATTAATCATTTTTAGTATGTCTTACTACATAAAATATGTCTGCCAATGAGTAGGTCTGTAACAAATAATGTATAAAAACTTTAAGTCTTAAAACTTAAAAATGTATTTCGTAAACAAAAAAAGTACTGACTTGTAAACTTAAGTCTTTTTCTATCTTCTCTATTTGCTGTAAAAAATTTGAATATTGAAATTTTTTAGTTATTTTAAACCTAAGCCAAGTACCATTATTAATTTTGTCAGGAGTTCTGGGAGTAGGTGTTCTTGGAGTAGGTGTTCTTGGAGTATATGTTCGACTAGTACTTGCCAAAACATTTAAAAATTGGCAGAACAGTAAAACAAATAAAACTTTCATTTTCGTCTGTAAATTATAATGCAAATTAAAACATGTTATGTTGGATGGAGGTATACTTACAATAAAATCAAACATTTATTGCAGAGTTCCCTATGTACATTTTTTAACTCCAAGTGGGAATATTTCTACTGCATTATGTTTACTTATTTACATTGCTTTGAAATGTTGTTTAAACTTCTGTTGTTTTACACATTCAGGTAAAAAATCATGGTTTTCTTATATTGATGAAAAGATCAATTAACCATAAGTTACGATTACAGAAAATATTAAAAAAACAATTATTGACAAATTTATACTATTTTTTACAATACTATTTTCAACAATAATTATTAAGTACCTTTAATAGTACTAAAAAGTAAATAATAAAATATAAAAAAAACTTTTATTAAAACGTGCTTTTCTAAAAAATAGTAAAAAGGTGAACTAAAAATTAAAAAATAATTTTGTTATAAGGCCAATTTACCAATCAATTATTTCACATTTTTTGAAAAATGTCAGTTCCTTTGAAAACAGCTGAAAATTAATTACAATTTTAAATAATGTTAAACATCTTTATATTTTGACTAAAAATATAGGCTTGGGCCCTATTCATCAAAGTCCAAATTCATTAAGTAATGTAAAATATATGTGTCACACACTTACAAAAAAACTTACAATATTAAACATAAACATTTTAATTGATAAAATTATTAGGGACTAAGTTGAATAGGGTTCCCATTTTTCTTTTTAGTCAAAAGTTAAAAAAAATTCACATTATTTAAAATTGTAGTTAATTGTCGGTTGTTGTTAAGGTAACTGATATTTTATAAAATGTGCTACAACTGGTTGGTAAATTGTTGCATTAAAATTATTTTTTACTTTTTAGCTCACTTTTTTACTATTTCTTAGAAAAGCATGTTTTTAAAAAAACTTTTTAAATTGAGAATAATGTACTAATAATTTTGAATAGTCGACAACAAGTTTTGGATATCTATTTTTGAAGTACTTAAATAATATTAATAATAATAATAATATGAGTACCCAAAAATATCTGGTGATAATTTTCAGTTAGTACAAAACACTTGTTTAAAAAATTGTTTTTTTTTGTGTTCAATATGTAAACGTAGTATTAGAGTTTCTACGTCTGACTGAAGAGCTAAAATATCATCATAAAAGTATAACTAAATGGTACACAACTAAAGTGCTGAAAGTCTTACACCACAATACTAAAAAATAATTAATATCAATTCTAAACACAATAAAATATCACAAAAATATACATCACTTGTATTAGACCAGCAACATATAGTGTTAAGAAATATTATAATATGTAGATGTTTTTTAACAATATGTGTGGTATGAATGAAAACATTTAACGTAAACAAAGCAGCAGGAAGCCATCTTTAATTTTTTTTATTTTTAAATAACGACTACGTTAACAATTGGCATCAAAGCATTTAAATCGTTTATAGCGTTTATTTGAAAGTGGTTTTACTACTCTTATCAAAACTAATTACTGTATAACTGTGACCTCACCGTCCCTACTGCTTTGATCCCATTATGCCTCGATCCCACTGTACTGGCTTACTAGGATAAAATTATTTTTGAAACGTACTATGCTATGCTTTGTTATAACCAGAGTTTTGCAAAATTTAATAAAAGATATCAAAATAATTATCAGGACAACAAATTATTCAAATATCTTTTTTTAAAAGTGTATTCGAATAATTTTTAAAATATCATTTAAATAGTGTGTAAGTGTTTTTAAAATGATTATTTCGTAACATTTTACATGTAGAAAATATATAAACCCAGTAAATATAAAAAAACAATTTCGTATATTACTTACTTTTATAGTTGCAATGATACTCGTAGTTATACTGACTGCTTCAATGGTTTTTTTACGACTGATCAAATGGCTTACATATTGCCGACCGAAACAACAATAACTAGTCGTATTGTGCAGAATTGTTTATGCGAATTTGTTAACATAAGCAACGTTATTCATTTTTTGTTATAAACAACATATTTACATAATTCTGAATCGTATCCCCAAGTATAGTACAATATTATATTTGTGTACTAGATACTAAACCTTACAAAACAATTTATGAGTACGATTACCCAAAACGCAATATTAAAATTACCAGACTCGACTATTTGTTACCCAAGAAAAAAATATAGAATCAAATTTATATGGGGATAATATATTTTTTTTTAACTAGTAGGAAAGCCAATTTAATTTTAATTAGATTAATTACATTGTGTCCACTCAGATACGTACATTTAAATAATTGGGTGTGTTTAATGTTTGCTAACTTGAGTCAGTCTATTTTTGAATTTCTAATATCCCTCTAACTAAGTGAAAATAATACTTGGATTACAGAATATACACATTTAATGTATGAAAATTAAAAATAAATAAACTATTTACAAATTTTTCTTTGTAGAAAAATAATATACATTTATGTCAAAACCCGATCTCTACGAGTTACCATCTTTATTCCCGTTACTTGTTGTACACATTTTCATCAGATTATCATACTGGCACCGAGAATCATGAATGGTTTAAAATCACTTATCTATAATGGAATACTCTACAATATACTTATATTGCAAAATCAGTATTTGTTATTTTGATGCATTTGTTTTGTAGTTTTCTGATTTAGCATTTATTCTAATGAATAAAGAAGGTTCATTTTAATTCATTAAAAAGTGCTTTATTTTCAATAATAAAAACTTTAATATCTAAAAAACATAGGACAATACAAACAAACACAACCATACAATTTATTAGTAAAAAAGTAGATACTGAAGTGTGCCCGTTGTGGTTTTTAACCCGTGTTAATTAAACTATTAAATATAAAAAAAGATTGATTATAATAATACAAAGGATAATAGTTTATTAAAAATAATTACACAAGGTTAACCAACAAATAATAAAATTTTACATGAAAAAGATACGCAACGGTACAGAAGAAAACAACAAGTGAGTGAGTAGAAAATATTACAAAGAAAATACCGGTCATGTGTGTATTATCGTTGATCGCGGTACGTCATGAATATAGCGACGAAATGTGGTTTTGTTATCAACTTCATACCGGTGGCGCGGTAGTTGATGACATTATACAATAAGTCCGCCACAGTACTCCCCTCCTAGTGGACTTCACGACAGGAACCTCCTAGGAAAGCGAATGACTCGTCCTGACCGGGATGTCTTCTGAGGCCTAACTGATGCTGCATCCGACTCTGGTTGTTGCGCCACTGGAGATTGGTCTGACTGGACGAATACTTTTCTCTTCGAATGATTTGACGTGGGAACGGGTCGTAACTCCCGCATATCGTCCTTCAGCTTTCCTACGAACGTAACTGGATCGACATCTTTTCTGTTAGTGTGCAGGAAATCACCTGGGAGTCGTAGAGTGGCTCCATAGACCATCTCTGCTGGTGTTACGCCCAAGTCTTCTTTAAAACTCGCCCGAAAACCTAACAGAATTAAAGGAAGGACTTCTACCCAACGTTCCGTTTCGTGTGCCCTAATTGCAGCTTTTAAGGGCCGGTGTAGGCGTTCAACTAATCCATTTGCGGCCGGATGGTACGCCGTCGTACGAATCCGTTTGGCGCCTATAGCTGCAGCAAATTTGTTGAATGCTGTAGACTCAAATTGTCCGCCTTGATCGGTGGTAACGTAGTCTGGGGCGCCGTGACGTGCAATCCATCCAGCGAAGAGCGCTTGAATAACAGTTTCCGTTTTAATGTCGGGTATTGGAAAGGCATCCGGCCACCGGGAAAAACGGTCTACTACTGTTAAGCAGTACGTATTGCCCTTCGACATAACGAGTGGTCCGACCAAGTCAATATTCAAATGAGAAAAACGTGTACTTGGCAAAGGAAAGGTGCCTACCGGGCTCATTGTATGCCGTTGTACTTTCGATTTTTGGCATGCCATACAAGTTCTTGTCCATTCAGTACAGTCTTTTTTTAACGAAGGCCAAACGAAACGCTGACGTACTAAATCAACTGTGGCTCGAACTCCTGGATGAGATAGACCGTGTAAATTATCGAATGCTTGTTTTCTAAATGGCTTTGTTAAATAGGGCCTATAATTTGTCGTGGATGTATCACACAATATTTTTATGTTCGTAGTTGGTACAATAATATGTGCGAGTTTTAACGATGTATTTTCCGCTTTTAATAATGTAGCAAGTTCATTGTCGGAATTCTGAGACGTTGCTAAATCATTATAATTTAAAGGCGTTGGAAAAAAAATTGTTTCTACGCGTGACAACGCGTCGGCCACTACATTTTTCTCTCCCGATATGTGTTGGATATTGGTGGAAAATTGACTGATAAAATCCAATTGCCTAGTCTGTCTGGGAGAAAATCTATCGGATTTTTGTCGAAACGCATATATCAGCGGCTTATGATTGGTGAATAGCGTAAATTGTCGTGCTTCGAGCATATGACGGAAATGTTTTACCGCCGAATATGCGCCGAGTAGTTCACGATCATAAGTGCTATATCGTTGTTGTGTGGGACTTAGTTTTTTGGAAAAAAAAGCTAACGGTCGCCATCCCTCGTTGGAACGTATCTGTAAAGCCGCGCCTATTGCGGTGTCTGATGCATCGACCATTAACGATATCTCACTGCTTTCGTTCGGTAATGAAAGAAGAGTATTTTCGGATAAATCGGTTTTGCATTTTACAAAAGCGCTAATTGCTTCTGGAGACCAGTTTATCACACGTTTGTCATTTTTTTTTGAGTTTTTTAGATATTCATTAAGAGGTGCTTGGGTTTCTGAAGCGCCAGCGATAAAACGCCTATAAAAATTCATCATAGCTAAAAAACGACGTAGCTGTTCGACCGTCGTCGGTCTCGGATAATCTATTATCGCTTTAATTTTTTCTGGGTTCGGCCTAATTCCCTCCGCGGAAATTAAATGGCCAAGAAATAAAACTTGTTGAGCTCCCAGCCGGCATTTGGATGGGTTTATTACAATATTGTATTTTTGTAACCGAGTAAACAATATTTCTAGGTGCTCGAGGTGTTGTGTCTCAGACGTAGAAGAAACCAAAATATCATCCAAATAAGCCTCACAAAAATCCAAATCGATTAGTATCTCGTTAATGAACCGCTGAAAAGATTGCGCGGCGTTTCTAAGGCCGAATGGCATTGCTAAAAATTCGAATAATCCGAATGGAGTAATGACCGTGGTTTTCGGTATGTCATTTGGCTCAACCGGGATGTGATAATATGCACGGATCAAATCGATTGTAGAAAAAATATTTTTTCCATTGAGTCTTTGAGTGATGTCTTGGACGTGTGGAATAGGATAACGGTCTGGGACTGTTATGGCATTTAAACGGCGGTAGTCACCACACGGCCGCCAGTCACCATTTTTCTTTTTTACTAAGTGCAAAGGGCTCGCCCAGGGACTCTTTGATGAACGACAGATCCCCTGTTCTATCATGTATTTAAACTCATTTTTCGCAACCGCTAAACGGTCTGGTGGGAGCCTCCTAGGTCGTGAAAAAACAGGGGGGCCGTTTGTTTGAATATGGTGCGTTAAATTAATATTATAATTTGGCTTAAAAAAATGTTGACTAACTAGTTTGGGAAACTTTTTGAGAAGATTAAAAAATATTGTGTCTTCATTAATTGCTGAAATTTTTGATAAAGATGTAGTGGTTAATTTACCAGTTGTAAAAAGTTTAGTTTTTCCATCAACTAAACGTTGATTTTTAATATCGACAAGTAATTCGAAATTATGCAAGAAATCAGCTCCAATAATAGGATTCTGGACTTCGGCAATTATAAATGGCCAATTAAACGCACGGCGAAGGCCAAAACTTAGAGTTAAAATCTTTTCACCGTATGTAGGTATAGTTGTGCCGTTTGCGGCAAATAGAGTTAATGAGCCCCGATGTTTATTTGGAGTAAACCGCGCCGGCCAGATTGAAAAATCGGCGCCGGTATCAACAAGAAATTTTTGATTAATTTGTTTATCATTAATGAATAAGCGGCTTGTTTGAAAACGATCGTCGGAGGCCGCCTCTACGACGGGCGATTTTAGTTTTTTTTTTGGGTTTCGAATTTACATGGCTCAATGCATTTTGTCGCGTTATCGCCAAATTTGGTATGATACCAACAAAAGTCGAGTTGAGCACGTGATTTTGAACGGTTATTTCCGCGGTGAAACCCGCCGCGACTGTCGTGCCGTGAACGTGAACGTGAACGCGCGTACAACAACTTGTCGATTTTTTCACAAAGAGCGTCAATTTTTGTCCCTAATTCACTAATGCCCGATTTTTCGGTAGTTACTTTATTTTTTGAAACGGCTGAAATAGAAGCAAAATCGTTTCTCGAGTCTGCGACCTCACTAATTTTATCAGCCATTACAGCGAGATTGTTAAGCGAGTCATCACTAGCCGATAAAATGGCTTTAATTTGATTTGGCAGCCTCTGGAGCCATAGAGTTTTTAACACGTCATCTGACAGTTTTCCCGATGATAAATCGCGCATCTCGCGTAAAAGTTGTGTGGGTTTGTGATCGCCGATTTCAAAATTTTTAAATAATTTTTTTAGTCGAGCGTCCTCGGACTCAGAAAAACACTCAATAATTCTTTTTTTGAGTGTCGAGTACATGTCGTTCTCTGGGGGTGTTAATATTATGTCGCTTACCTGCGTTAGTATCTCGCTCTCGATTGCGGCTACCACGTGGTAGAACTTTTTAGAATCCGCTCTGATCGCTGCCGTTACGAACTGTGCCTCTATCTGCTTGAACCACAGCTCAGGGCTTGCACGCCAGAATGGAGGAGCTTTAAAGCTGACCCTCGATATTTCGTAACCGTTACTGTCGTTTATAAGGCCGTTTGTGCCAGCGGTATTTTCTTCGGTGTCAACCATTGTGTAACACGTTTATTTTAAACAGAAAAAAAGGTAATAAAAAAAAACGTCGATGGTCACCAATGTGGTTTTTAACCCGTGTTAATTAAACTATTAAATATAAAAAAAGATTGATTATAATAATACAAAGGATAATAGTTTATTAAAAATAATTACACAAGGTTAACCAACAAATAATAAAATTTTACATGAAAAAGATACGCAACGGTACAGAAGAAAACAACAAGTGAGTGAGTAGAAAATATTACAAAGAAAATACCGGTCATGTGTGTATTATCGTTGATCGCGGTACGTCATGAATATAGCGACGAAATGTGGTTTTGTTATCAACTTCATACCGGTGGCGCGGTAGTTGATGACATTATACAATAAGTCCGCCACACCCGTTACTGCAGAAAAATTATAAAATAGTGAACTGTTACAAAAATTAGGAAAGCGCAGTTTAAATCTTATAACAGAATTAATTAGGTTATAATTAAATTTAAAAATTTGGATAGCAAAAGAATGTACACAATTAAACAAATGAATTTCTTATGCAAACATTTGATAAAAGAGGAATTGAATTCCTTTTATGTTGATTTATATGTTAACAACTTTTTAATTTTTAATTTCAGCAATTACAAAACAAGTTTATGCAATATTTATTTTGAAACGTAGTACGATTTTTGTTTTTTTAAGAATAGAAGAATATCACTTTTTCATATAATTAAGTAAAAACGAATATTTCTTTAAAATAACTAAAATTAAATAATATGAAAATTATTTAGCTTTTGGAAAAACACTATAAAAGTTGTAAAGGTTATAGAATAGTTTAAAAACACAATTAATACTGGTATTCATATGATACTAGAATTGTACATATTAGCTTCTTCCATGACTTGTTAATTATAGCGTTAAGACACACTATATTTTGTCACTTTGTGTAATACCTATTTTAAAAACATGTCAGGAGGTATAATTGAAGTAGGTATCAGTCTATTAAACTCAAATTAAGTTTACGTATTTAATATTGTATTACAGCTGTTATTTAGTATCATGAAAATGTTGTTTCTATCCTAAATTTGCATAGATTCATGCAAAATTTCATGAATACCACTGGCGGTTTGTTCTAAGGCGGGCAATTGTCTAGGATAAATATTACCACCCGCACATCTTTCTGGGGCCAACTTGTTTGGTAGGCATTCAAAAATAAGCCCAAAAATGCCAAACTAAACCGTCTAAGCCCCGATTGGTGTAAATAACGGACGTTAATCGCAAGAGAGAGATATATAGTGAATGTATTGCGATTTCCTAAACCAGAGATGTTTTATAATTATAGCTTATTACAAGAAGTTTTTGTAAATTCATTTGTTGTGTAAATTGTACTCCAATATTGTAGTTTTTTTTTTTTTTATCAAAACCAAGCTTTTTTTCACAGCGACTGTAATAATGTAAACAAATGGTAGGTTCTCCATATGTATCACAAACAAAGATTTATATTCTATGAACTTTTGAATTTTACAATAACAATTTGTATAGTTTTTTCAACTTATTTTTTTATCGAAAACGAGTTGTTTTTCTTAACATATTTTGATTTGCAGTTGCTTTTGTATATAAATGTTTGACCTATTTTATCTGTTGTTGTTTTTTTTTCCACAAACGTTTGCAGTGTTCTTTATAAGATTAAATACATTTTAAATGGTTTTAAATTTCATGGTTATTAGTCAACATGAAAACATGTTGTAGTAATGACAATAATTCACAACACCTCTAAGAATCGTAAACTTCAAATTTTTAACGACTTGGAACTTAATTTACATAATTTCGACTCTAAAAAAGAAAAAAGTAGGTAGGAGAAAAGGTGGAGTCCTCCCGCACAAAACTTGAAATTTCAGTACTTTAAAAATAACTAAAACTGGTTTTGGTATTCTTAATTAAAATATTTAATGAAATGTATGTGTTACGATTTAAGTATTAATAATTGCCATCCAAAAAACTAAGTTGAGAGGGGGTAAAAACAAAAAAAAAGGCTGTTTTTTATAATATAGGTGAGAGCTGTCATATTTAAGCTGTGTATTAATTTTAAATCACTGTTTGAGCAAAAACATATTAACCAAATCAATGAAAATAATAATTTGTATTTTTTTTTTACTTTTTCAAGTTGACTAAAAAAATATGTTACTTGGGAATATTATTTATAATATAATGTTATAAAATAATTAATTTTAAAATTCGTTTATATATATTGTAAAATACTTCTAACAAAATTATATTTTATAATTATAGCTTATTTCAAGGAGTTTTTGTATATTCAGTTGTTGTGTAAATGGTACTCCCATATTGTAGTTTTGTTTTTTTATTTTTATTAAAACCAAGCTGTTTTTCACAGCAACTGTTGTAATGTAAACAAATAGTAGGTGCTCCATATGTATCACAAACAAAGATACATATTCTCTGAATATTTGAATATTACAATAACAATTTGTATAGTTTTTTTAACTTATTTTTTTATCGAAAACGAGTTGTTTTTCTTAACATATTTTGATTTGCAGTTGCTTTTGTGTATAAATGTTTGACCTATTTTATCTAACCACACATCCCCTCCCATCTTAACTTTAAAACTCTAATAACTTTAAAAATAGCTTTCCAAAATAGGGTTACGGACCAGTCAACATTATTAGTACATTATTCTCAATTCAAAGAGTTAATGAATTTTATGTGTCACCGTTTATGTATCAAAAAAACTAGTTTGGAAGGTGGGTAAAAACAAAATTAGAAGCGTTTGAGATCATATTGTATGTACAAATTATGGAAAAAAAAAATTATTAATTAAACCAACTGAGATATTGAGTGGTTCACAATAAGTTGGTCACCCTGTATTAAAATTATTTTAAAATAAATGTAATGTCAACGATTTTGACCAATAATAAAATAATAACAATACATATTTTAGTAAAATATGAGTTTTTAAAATGTTAACTTAAAAGATTGTAGGAAGTAACACCCATAGGTATATGTCATTTGTTTACAATACTACAATAATTTCAGTAATATGGTTTAAAAAAAAAACTTGTTTTCGTATTAGAACTATAATAATATTGAAACTTTATGATAGTTAAATGCACTTCTCATTTGTTTACATTGTAACAGTTGTTGTGAAATAATGGTATTGGATAATACGCTTGAATAACTTGGTGGAAGTTAGTATTTAAGTAGAAATAAAAACACAACAATAATATGATTGAACATAATACTATTAAACATAATAACACACAGTATATATACAAAGTACGTTGCAACTATAACAGCATCCGTAATAGAGTGGTACCCGACACCTTAATACTATGGCTTGTGTATAATAAAATCTAGGTCACAAATGAAATTGGTCCTTGTATCAAACAACTTTTAAATATTACATAATGATTTGCATAATGTTCGCATATACTATTATAAATAAAGAGAAACCGTTGCTTGACGTTTTGCTTGCCATGAAATTGTAGATGTCCCCAACATGAATAAATGTGCCGAAGTTGATCTCCTTGATTCTAAATCTCCGCCATAATCAGAATCTGTGAATATTCTTAAATCTAAATTATTATCAGATTTATAAACTAATCCGTAATGAATTAGTATGCAATGAATTTATTTCGTCGTCCATGGCTTGAATTCAATTATTTTTGTACTCACAACTCACAGCTTCATTTTAGTTTATTGGTACGAATGTCCAAGCAGTGACAAAATGGGTAAATTTGAAAAAAAATATAAGGACTTAAACTTACTAAGATTAAATAATGGTGAGCAATTTCGACAGATGGGATGAATAGAGGAGGAGAAGTGGTCTCGACAAAGAAAATAAACAGCCTGTATATTAAGCCAATACATATTATGATTAAAAGTAATAATATTATTTATAATAGCGAACAAAAACTTCTTAGTACATAGTACAGTAAATTATTTGACAGTTTTTATATAAGTGTGGCATCCAAAAACATTTAAAAATATGAACAGAAAAAATGTATAATTTATTAAAATAAACGTGGGAGAGTAAAAATTATTTAATTTAAACAAGGGATTATGCTTCCCCCTGTCAAATCGTGGTTTTCGTTGTTGACAAAACATAAATCGTCCTCATAGAATGCGCATGAGATTTTTATGAGCTCTTTATGACGTATAACACAAACTTCGCCTACAACATCAGCATTTGTTGTGTATTCATCTGGAAATCTCATACTCCAGAACAATCCTACGATTCGACATGTGTGTGTAAAATCTATTCTGTTGGTCCTATGTTCTGAAAAAAAAGTTTACAAAAGTTAGCCAAACTAAAATTAAGGCTAATTTTATGTCCCCACCCAAGAGAAAATGTATATGCAGACACAAAATGTAAATTTTACAGGAGAAAGAAAAATAAAATTACTTATTAATAAATTAATAATTATTAACTTTTCTTCCTAAACCTATCAACCTACTCTTACACTAAAATCTTCCATTTCTCCACACACAGTCTTCACTCTTGTACTTGCCCCTACATATATTTCATCTATTACTTTCACTTACACTATTTGCACTCATTTTTTCTTAAACGGCCACCCCTAAACCTCCAATTAATAAATAACTAAGTAATTAGTTAGAATAAATGAACTAAGAAGGACCCATCTAAGAGTCCAAACGTCATAAAAGGTATATATATAACGGTGAATAGATCGTGAAATTTAAATATAGGTGAACCAAAAAACTTGAAAATTGTAATTTTTTATTTAATAAACTTTTGTTCGGATATAAACCTAATAAAAATTGTAACGATGAAATAATAATTAAAAAACTTTTTTAACTAAGTTTATAGATTTTTTAACTAGGAAAATAGTTGGACGATTTATTTATGTAGTTTTTAAACTATAAGTGTGTAATGTTTGTTGGTCCTAATATGCATTTTTTCCGTGTAACCACTAGTTTTTTTATTAGTTTATTATTTACTGTCTCTTATATCAGTAATTAACGATTTTAATACTGGTTTCAACATTTCTCTTCGATCTTCTCCAAGCTCTTTCTCACTTTTTGAAAATCTTGAATAAAAACCTGAAAAGTTTAATAAATGTGTTAAACAAAGTATAAATCATTTTGTAAAGTGTTTTTCTAATGGCAATTTTGTAACCTCAGTTAACACGGCAAAATTTCAAAATTTAAAATTACATTATTCGAAAAACACACATTTAACAAACAAACGAATCGTTAAAATATGTTTTTATTGGAGTTTTAAGTTCACATGGTGTCTATTTAAAAAAATAGTTATTCGAAAATCTATTATTTTTCAACCAAATAATATTTTTTTCTGCTTGTATGTTATTTAAATAAAACAATTGTTTAATGACAAATTCTATGTATTAATCTAGCTAGTAACAGTGATCAAAGTGAAGATAAAATAAAAAACTTTAAGCAACAGTAGAGTAATTAATTTCAAACAATTTTTGTGATATTTTTTATAGTAAGGTGATGTGCGGTAACTAAAATTACTGGCTTAATTTTTTACTGCCAATTGATATAAATATCACACACAAATTTCGACTAGTGAATACTAGCTGATATTATTTTTTATTAAATTAACTAAAAAAAAAAGACTAATTATTTTTGTTTAATATTTGTATGCTAGATATAAATGGGTACATTGGATTTAGAAGTTAAAACGTGTAACGTTATCGTAAGTTAAATTTATGGAGCCATTATTAAAAAAACCAAACTTGCCAAACACTCCACGCTAGAATGTTATTTTATTATGAAAAAGTACTAGAGTCCTATGTGTAAAACGTGTAGATATATTATCTGGTTATTAATGGTTGCGGCGGCCGATCAGGTTTTACGAATTTTTCGTTATTTTATTTATTTTTTTTTATATTCATTTAATTTCATTAATCTACTTATGTACCCTTGTTTATTCGGTGTAAACCTAACGATTAATTAACGGGAGTATACCTATAGATGGCTAAGACTCATACAATAATATATTGGTAAAGCAGTTTTGGTTTACATCACTCTATTGCCCACAAACCCGGTTATGATTTAGTAATTTTATTCATTGACGAAGTTCTACTTAACTAACTCATTGTTTATAAAAAGGGTCAAATTCGTTAAATTAAAATTCATACTGTTGGTTGAACAATGGGTATTCACAAACTAAAATAAGTATTGCGCATAAGAATCAAACATATTTTTTATAATTTTTTTTTTAAGTAAAAGTGAATGTGAAACACAGTTATTTTAAATTACCTGAACTTTTAACCATCAGTTTTGTAAAGTGTTTGAGAAAATATGATGAATTTTATAATTACTTAAGTTTCTGCTTAATTCTTGTTGCAGTTCATCCTCCAATGCCTTCTCTAAAATTTAAATCATAACATATGTTTATATTTGTCTAATATTGCTATGGTAAAATTAATATGCATACGATTTTTCTCATAAATAAAAAACTAATGTAAAAGCCATGTGTTTAGTATTATTAATATGAAATATGAATTACGGTAATCAAAGTTCCCATTAATTTCTTTTTCTGAAATTAAAACGAAAACATTTTGTACTGGTGAATAACCAACAACTATATGAAAATGTTTTCAATTATTACCAGGTAGTGCAAACATAAAAGTCAATTTCTCTGAAATTATGATTACAAAAAAATTATTTTTAAACGATATTAGACTTAATTTCATCATCCATTATAAATTTCAATAGAGTAGTCAAGGTATAAAATACACGTTTAATAATAATAAGGAAGTTAAATTTACAAATAAATATTGAGTGATTTAAATTTAATATTTATGTCACTTATTAATTCGCATTGATAAATTTTTGCAATTATTGTATCATTTCCAAAACAATTCTTCTACTAGCAAACCTAATCGGTTTGGTTTTAAAATAATTATTACTCATTATATCTTCATCTTGACGAACAACAAATTGCATTATTTTGTTCCTAATGGTTCCTGAAATAAATAAATATTTGATTAAGTTAAAAAAAATCAAATGATATTTAAATGCGACAAAATATGTATAAAAATGTTCTGAATACGTTTTGGGATAAACGTTGCCCATTTAACTAGTGATAAACCGTGTTTGAATTTAATTACACAATTATTCTAAAATATCTATTCTAGATCATCAATAATATTGTACAAACTGAATTATAATGAAATCATATTAGTCGTGTGGGAGACTTTTTTAAGAAATATTCTCAATACAAATCGTATTATTTAAGCTTATTATCCTCATCAAACCTCGACTTCACCACTATTGTGAATTCCTGAAGTACTCCGGTAAAAACCATTTTTTAAAAATACAATACACAAAGGCTATTTTGGAAACATTTTTTCATTGAGATTGTAGTTGATAAAAATAATTTACCATATAGTCAGGGAAATGGCAACTATAACAAAACAATTAAATTTATTGTATTAATAATTTTAAGTATTCCTTACGTCTATCAATATGTATTTGAATGAATTGGTCTGTAACAAATTATGTATAAAAACTGTGAGTCCTAAAACTAAAAGAAGTATTTTGTAAACGAAAAATGTACTGACTTGTAGCATTAAGTCTCCTTCTATCTGGTAGATTTGCTGTAAAAAATTTGAATATTGAATTTTGTTTTGTTATTTTAAACCTAAGCCAAGTACCTGTAGTACATATATCAGGAGTCCTTTGAGTAGGTGTTCTTGGAATAGGAAAATTAGTACTTGTCACAACATTTAATGTGAAACAGCACAGTAGCACAAAAAAAACTTTCATTTTTAACTGCAAATAATAATTAAAATTAAAACATGTTATATTAGACGGAGGTATACTTACAATAGAATCTAAACATTTATTGCAGAGTTCCAAATGTACATTTTTTAACTCCAAGCGGGATTATTTCTATTGCATTATGTTTACTTATTTACACTGCTTTGGAATGTTGTTTAAGCTTCTGTTGTTTTACACATTCAGGTAAAAAGCCATGGTTTTATATTGATGAAAAGATCAATTAACCATAAGTTACAATTACAGAAAATATTAAAAAAACAATTATTGACAAATGTATACTAGTTTTCAAAATTATTGTCGTTTCACGCATTTCTGGTTACGGTTAAGTTGAATAGAGTGGTTTGCGATAGAAACTACACAGGTGTGGAGGCCTCTTAGTTATGTCAAGATTGATTTTGTTTGGTTACATTACACGCTATATGTGTACATTCTGGTAGCCTAAGAACTCGATGTAATGTAGACAAAAGACGAAGGCTGTTAACCTAACAGTGTTGGAATCACAAATTGCTTAAGTTAACACGTTAAAAGAACTGTTATATTTTACAAATACAGTTTTTCAAGTTTAACTATTATTTTTTTTTTGTTTTATGAAAAATAAATCGTTTTTTGACTGTATTCTGTTTTATTATTTGTCCTTTTAACGTTTGAATTTGTTTGCATGATAGTATCTTATTGTTACAAATATTATGCCAAACACAAATTTTGTATTAAAACCAATAAAAATACTTAAACAAATCGCTATTTACCTACATTTGTCATGTATTCTAGTTAACACATTTTTCATTATTGTGTTCATATTTTCCGATCTCTTTCGAAATTATTTTTCTCCAATCCATTATCCCGAAGTTCAGGATTTTATTTTGGAGGAGCCCAAAATTTCAAATATCTTATACATACCCTTGTCCTGCAAGGGTAATAACAAATACGACAGCACGTAATGAAGACCCAATAATGGTCATCGAAGGCCTACCGAATCGCAGCATGCTCACCCGCCTAGTCAAGAGCTTTGCCGAGCCGAGGTCGTGATGACAGGCATAAAACGGAAGGTTGAAGAGCATCCAGAAGAGCAGTCTACCTAACTAGTTCGTAACGAATTAGCAGACGTACCTCCGGATGTCTGACCGTATTGAGGTAAATACGTTATTAATAAGAAGACAATAAAAAAAATAACCAGTGCGTGTTACGAGTACACGCGGATGAAGTGAAACTTGTTTCAGAGTCATTCAACCGATAGAACCGGTTTGTTTCAATAAAATGCTTACTCGGTCACCACTGCTAGACACTTTGAGATCGGGTACTACAAAGTTAAACCATTACCAATCCTAAGTCCGACCAGCCTGTGTCTATGTAGTAATATAAATTAAGCACCTAGAGACTTAACCGGGTTTGTCGAAACTAAGACCTCTGTCTGATTAAGAGTGTACGGTGTGTATATATTATTATATAGTTGTGTACATCTTAAATATTAAATAAACAATATTTTTCAAGTCAGGTTTAGATTAAGACGCAGCAGTTACTCCTCAACAGTACCTAAGAACTGTGTAACATAGATGTTTTAGAATTTTAATATAATTACAAATGTAACGTTACACATGCTCGTGTGTCGTGACCTTGAAATTTTACTCCCAGCGCACGTAAAAAAGTCTCACTTCAAAAACACAATGAAAGCATACAATTTTAACATTTTTTAAGTTCGATAGTATTACTTAAACGATTGAAATGATAGTAAGGTTAAACTGTCTGCTTCAATGGTTTTCATATATTACAGTACAAATACAGTGTAATTTGTTTAACTATCCAAAATAATTTTAGTTATCTATTCATCAATTATTAAGTACTGTGGTGCCACTGGTCTATGTGGTTGTTGGTTGGTGGGCCCGTTATGGCTTACCGATTTATGTAAATAATATTAATCTGTGGTTATGTTCTGTTCGGGACAAATATGTCTAATCGTCGGGCCCTATTCAACAAAGTCCAAAATTAATGAGTAAAGTATTATGCAATGGATGTGTCATACACTAATATTAAACCAAATTTAAATTAAAAAAAAAAATTTACAATATAAAACTTTAACCGAAAGGTTAACTGGTAAAATTATTAAGGACTTAGTTGAACAGGGCCCACGCTTTTCTTTTTAGTCAAAAATCAAAGATGTTTAACATTATTTAAAATTGTAGTTAATTTTCTGTTGTTTTCAAAGTAACTGATATTTAAAACAAAATGTGCTACAATTGATTGGTAAATAATTGTTGTTGTAGTAAATTTTTTTTTTACTTTTTAGCTCACTTTTTTACTATTTCTTAGAAAAACATGTTTTTAAAAACAATTTTAATTGAGAATAATGTACTAAACATTTTGACTAATCGATAACAAGTTTTTGATAACTATTTTTAAAGTACTTAAATAATATTAATAATAATAATATGAGTACCCAACAATATCTGGTGATAATTTTCATTAGTGCAAAACACTTGTTTAAAAAATTGTTTTTTTTTGTGTTCAATATGTAAACGTAGTATTAGATTTTTTACGTCTGGAGGAGCAGCTAAAATAATATCATATAAGTATAAAATGGTATACAACTAAACAAGTGTTAAAAGTCCTACACTACAATACTAAAAAACAATTCACATCGATTCTTAATACAATAAAATATCATAACGTTATACATCATTTGTATTAGGCCAGCAACATATAGTATTAAAAAATATTATAATATGTAGATGTCTATTAACAATATGTGTGGTATGGAATAACACATTTAACATAAACAAAAGAGCAAGAAGCTACGAACAACTTTTTTTTTTTTTAAATAACGACTACGTTAAAAATTAGCATCAAAGCTAAACGCTTTGATGCGTTTATAGCGATTATTTAAAAGTGGTTTTATCACTTTTATTAAAAACCATTCATGTAGACCTGTGACAACTCTGTCCTTATTGCTTTGATCCCATTATGCCTCGACCCACTCTACTGACTTACTAGGATAAAATTACTTTCAAATAAGCGATTTGATACGTACTATGCTATGCGTAGTTATAACCAGAATTTTGCATAATTATATTAAAAGATATCTAAATAATCATCTAGATAAAACATTTTTTAAATGAAAGTTATTCGATTAAATATTCTGTATTCGATTATTTGTTTAAAATATTATTATAAATAGTCTGTAAGTAATTTTTTTCACCTAAAGTAGAGTCACTATTCGCCCCTTCACTCAAGCTTTGAAAAATAAAATAGCCATTTTACTTATTATACATATTAACAATATATTATAAATATTTTCAAAAAAAAAGTGATTTTTTAAAGTTATTATATTACAAATATTATTTCGTATACATTTAATACATTCTACATTTAGAAAATATATTAAGCCAGTAATTATAAATAAACAATTTCGTATATTACTTACTTTTAAAATTGCAATGATGTCTATACTGACTGCTTCAATGGGTTTTTATGACTGATCAAATGGCTTATATATTGCCAATCGAAACAACAATATCTGGATGTATTGTGCAGAATTGTTTATGCGAATTTGTTAACATAAGCAACATTATTCATTTTTCGTTATAAAAAACATATTTACATAATTCTGAATCATATTACCAAGTAGAGTATAATATTATGTTTGTGTAGTAAATACTAAACCTTACAAAACCATTTGTGCATATGATCACTGAAAACGCAATATTAAAATTACCAGACTCGACTGTTTGTTACCCAAGAGAAAAATATATTAATCAAGTTTATATGGGGATAATATGCCAATGAATTTCTTATGCAAAATTTTGATAAAAGAGGAATTTAATTTCTTATGTCCTTATTTATATGTTATCATCTTTTATATTTATAATTTGAGCAATTACAAAACAAGTTAATACAATATTTCTTTTGAAACATTATACGATTATTGGTTTTATAAGAATAGAAGGATATCACTTTTGTCATTTTCATGTCTTAGCTCTGCCACATAACCGAAAAAAGCGTTATCACACGGTGATGGGGTTTGGGGTGGGAGTGGTGATTGGGGTAGGAATGGGGTTGGGGGTGAGAATTATAGAGGGTACGAGATAAGAGATTATTTGTACGTTCAACGTTTAAATTAGAACTAAATGATAAATTCAAAATAGTTTAGAGCCCCGAATTCTCTATGAATTGTTTTAATCCAAATATTAAGCACTACAATATTAGCCAGAAACTTGATGTTTAAATATAATAGCTTGTTACTAATTCTTAAAAATACTATATCATTATCTATTATTCCACCACTACTTCAAAATGTATTCGGTACTTCATCGAGACATGAAAATGCTCTTTCGTGCTTGCAGACTCGGCTGAAAAACGGATGTTTCTTAAAAAAAACTAAAATTAAATAAATTAAATTGAATAATATGACAATTTTTTAGAAAAATACTATAATAGTTGTATAGATTATAGAATAGTTTTAAAAAAACAAATATTATTGGTATTCAAATGATACTAGAAATGTTAATTTTGGCTTCTTCCATGACTATTTTTGTCACTTTGTGTAATACCTATTTTAATAACATATCAGGAGGTATAATTATTTATTACATCAATATTGACAATAAGTGACATATAAACATATGCTTTTATACGAGAAAACTATACAAACTAATATAACCATATTAGTGAAAGAAAAATCCATATAAACCGTACTCATTAAATTAATTTAGGCGTTCAAAAAATTATGTTTAATACATTGATATTCGAAAAATTCCCATCACTTGTATAGTTGTATTCAATAATGGGCAAAATATATATTATAATTGATTCCAAAATACAAATGGGAGTTGTGATATTTTGGATTACTTGTTTTGTTTTTTATGGACAATATTACTGTGATTAGTGACTACAACACACAATATAATAACCGGGTCCTACTAAATTTTAAATCACTGTTTGGGGGAATACACATTTCTTAAATCATATAAGATTTTATTTATAATTTTGTTTATTATTTCAAGATTTTTAAAGAAAAGTGGTAGTATTATTTTCGTTGTTTATAATAAGTCTATAAGCTCTTTTTTTTTGTGCCAAATTTTGTTTTGATGCTTGTGTTTGAATGCATTGTGGAATGTTATTGTTATAACAACTATGGCAAGTAATTTTTTTTTTTAATTTGTATAAAGTTAATGTACTGGGTTTTTCTAAATCGGAAATGTTTTATAATTATAACTAATTACAAGGAGTTTTTCTAAAATCATTTATCGTGTAAAATGTAAACCAATATTGTTTTTTTTTTTTTTATCAAAACCAAGCTCTTTTTCACAGCGACTATTGTAGTGTACACAGATGTTAAGTTCGTATAGGTATCACATACTTTGAATATTATAAGAATCTTCGTATTTTACAAAAACAATTTGTATGGTTTTAATATTTATTTTTTTAACATATTTTGTTTTGCAGTTGTTTTGTCTACATTTGTATAGATTTATGCAAAACTTCATTAATTGTCTACTTGATCGTCAAATACTTGATTTAAACAGTCACATAAAATATAATGTAATATTTTAGCTTTGTCGTTTTGTATTTTTGACTACAACATAAAATATCATATTCACTAATTTATCTTATGCAGCGCAATTGGAGGGGGGGCATTGGATATTAGGGGATATTGGGTTAAGACTGCCTGATTGTTACAGATCTTCAAGATATAACATTTTTTAATTGTTAAGGTCAATTTCAAAATAACGTTTATCTAACGGGTACAGCTAATCCTCCGGTGCCGTTTGACAGCTGAATTGTCCTCTGCGCCACATATTACCCATATTTAATTTTCATTATTTGAATATTTTGGATTTCATGTTTTGGTTTTTATGGATTATATTACTGTGATTAGTGCCTACAACATACAATATAATAATTGAGTCCTACTAAATTTTAAGTCACTGTTTGGGGGAATACATATCTCCCCATAACTTAAATCAGTATTAAATACAAATTAAAAAATTTATCAGGACCACCATAAATATATGACATATATTTATTTTTTCCCTATATCATACTTGTTTTATAAACATAACTTAGTTTTAATGTTTTTTTGTAAAACCATTAATCAAGTAAAATGTATCTGAAATCTGCATACTTTAATAAAAGTTGAAAATCCATTGTTTCCTTTTTTTTTTTTTTTCAAAACCTAGCTGTTTTTAACGGCGACTATTGTAAACAAATGGTAGGTATCACAAACTTTGAATATTATAAGAATCTTCGTATATTACAATGTATGGTTTTAATATCTATTTTTTTATCGAAAACGAGGTGTTTTTCTTAACATATTTTGTTTTGCAGTTGTTTTTGTCTTTAAATGTTTGACCTACTTTATTTCTTGCACGGTAGAATCCTGGTGTTTTAATAATTGTAGCAGATGCCCTGATACGTCTAATTATTAATATTTTACGTGTTACATTTAAAAGGCATTTTTAAACAATACTTTTTCTAAAATTTAATAGGTACGACATTTTCCCACAATCCGTGTGGTTTTAAATTGCGCGGTTATTTAACAACATGAAAATATGTTAAGCAACCATCTATATTCCCGTAGCTTCAAATTTTTATACATCTTATGTTTTGATTATTTAACATTTATTATAGATACTTATTTTTCTAATTTAGTCCTAATAATATTGAATGACTTATATTATTTAACATTCAAAACCTTATTTTCTTTAGAATATTTCTTTAATGTACGTATATGTGTATATTATCATCAAAAACGGTTTTGAGACATTTTATTTAGTGATTTTAGCCGGGAAGGTTTAGGCTATACAATTGAGTTCTATACAAAATTTACCCTTGCACAAAATTAAAATATATTTTTTTTTTTGAAATTATGTTTTTAGCAGGTAAAAATGTACAGAGTCGCAAATGATGATTAAGAATATTATTTGTTTTTTATTTTGGATTACTTTACTTTTATTAATAATAAAATATTAAAAATGTAAATTAAAATTTTTAAGTATTTTAAATGTTTTAACAGAAGAGTAGTTATATTTATAAAATAACTATAATAAAGCAAAAAAATTATGTATATACATTATGGTGGTCGTTAATTTATTTCGATTCCGGTTGGCAAAGTATAGAAATAGTTTTGAAATGTTGAAAATAAATGCCCTAACTTTTTCAGATTTTTTACTTAAGAATAACAGGTGCCGCAATTTTAATTAATAAGTGATTTTAGCTGAGAAGGGTTAGGCTATAAAATGTGATTCTATGAAAAATTTACCCTTGCACAAAATTAAAATACTTATTTTATTTGAAATTATGTTTTTTGTTTTGGAATATTAATATACTTTTATTAATAATGAAATATAAAATACGTAAATTAAATATTTTAATTATTTTAACAGAAGAGTAGTTATGTTCATAAAATAGTTTTAATAAAGAAAAAAAATATGTATATACATTAAAGTGGTCGTTAAATTATTTCGACTCTGAGGGGTAAAGTATAGAAATAGTTTTGAAATGTTGAAAATAAATGCCCTAACTTTTTCAGATTTTTTACTTAAGAATAACAGGTGCCGCACAGGGCCTCAAGATTTTTATTGAAATAACATTGTTATTACTTATTTTCCAATAATTGTTTTATTACAACGGCTAATTAACTGAAAAAAAATGTTCAACTATTAAGAATTTTCGGGAATTGGTGCCGGTACAAATGAGAATGTAGATAAAAGTATCCAATTAATTTCCAATTTATACAAAAACATTTTTTGCATATTCAATATTAATAATGAATACTTCTAAATCTAGACTGTTTCAATGATATCTACATTATGACTCGTGTTTACATATTATTGTATACAGGGTTATTCTTTTAGCATGAACCACTCAATATCTCATAGGGTTTAATAAGAAATCAAAATATTTTTTTCCATATTGTTGTTATACAATGTGATCTCAATTTTTCACAAATTTTTTTTTTTTACCTCACTCCCAACTTAGTTTTTATGATAGCAACTTAAAGAGTTACGTATATATTTGAATAACTTTTTAAATTGAAAATAATTAACTTTGAAACTCTTTTAACTTTTAAAATAATTATTCAAATCTGGTTATTGACAACTCATAATGTTTAGTAACTTTAATAATACTAATATGTTCTGTGATAGCTATTTTAAAATAATTGGTGCGATAATTTGTTTCATCAAAAAAAAAACTATACGTATATTAATGTGTACAATTTAAAATCTTGGAGCATCCAACACTCGTATTTATTTTTTATCTATTTACACTGCTACAGCAACATCAGAAAAACTGTTCAAACATTATAATACACAACGGACAAAACAAAATATGAAAACAATTTGTTTTTGCATTATTATACTAACAGGAATTTGTCATTTGTTTACATTACAACAGTCGTTGTGAAATAGTCAAATAGGTAAATAAAGTTACTGATACTAATTAAATCATTAAAGAT